GCGGCCATTGATGTTTACATTTGAAACAGGAGACTAGTGGATTTGTTGCCAATCTAGAGAAACTTAGCTTCGCAACAACAAAGATAACGCATTCATTTATTATTGCCACTTAAATCATGCTTAATTCTTTCTGGAATTTTTTTCAAGGAAATAAGCGTTTGAGATTTACTTCGTAATTTTTAATATAGATATTTTGAGTTTTTATGTATTTTTGCCTTCTCGCGAAGTGAGAACTGAATTAATTGAATGAGAAATACTCAATCGTCTGTGAAAAACTGTTTCTTTTTTGTTTTGTTTGCTTAATTTCTTTTATAGATCATTCTAGCTTTATTATAGTATTTGAATAGAACATGTGGCAACGATTAGATAATTCTATTCTTTAAATGATATAAATTTTGTGCATTATGAGTTATAATATGAACGAAATATAATACTGTTAAGTGAATCTAGCGCCAGAATGTCGCTATGGTAAACAAATAATGTGTGGATTTTGAAGAATACATTTATTCTATTGTGGTTTATGCGCTGTCGGTGAAGTAGATTTAATTAAATCCAATAAGTTTAAATGAAATGCAAGAAAAAATGCGTATAATTTAATATTCCGCACAAGGAAGTCATGTGGTGTACACATCAGATCTTTTTCAATGGTATGCTGGAAAAAGAAGAGTCTTTTCTATCATCCTTTGCTGTCTGTAGGTCATATTGTCTGATTCTATCATCACTTGATACTGCATTATACAGTGTATTCCAGGCTGAAATACAGCCAAAAGCTATATGAGCTATTTATTAGTTTTTGAGTGAAACTGTAAATCCCGCCATAGCGCCATTATTAAATTTTATTTATATTTATTGAATTTTAACTTTAATTTTAAATATTAAAATAATTTAATTATTAATTATAATACTTATGCATTTTTCTTCTTTCTTTATGTCCTTCTATAGGGCTCCCCAGTACTTCTAATTTTAGAAATTAAGCCCTGATCATAATTAGTCAAATTTCACCTTCTTAAACACAAAAGAAAGAATACAGTAAGACCCCGCTTAACGCTGTTTCGTTTAGCGCTGTTTCGGTTTAGCGCTCTTTTATTTCAACCCGGGGATTCTCCGAAATTGTGCGCAGCGCTAGGTTTCCAAATAACATATTCGAAACAGTGTAGTTGTGTTTCTTGCTTTGTGGACGCATTTTTATCATTTGAAACATTTGTTGACATTATTCTAAGTTTAAATTTGTATAATACTATAACGATTAATACAGTGACAAATATTATGATCTTTAGTTTGTATCATGGGTGATAATAAAAAACAAGAAAAGAAAGCAACCAGGAAAAGCATTTCACTGGAAACTCAAATGCAAGTGATTAGAAGATTAGATTCTGGTGAACGTCAATCTCAAATTAGTGCTGCATTGATTTTGGCAACTTCAACAATAAGGACAATTCTTAAGAATAAAGAAAAAATACTGTCATCGGCAACTGCAACTACGTCAAGCTCTGCAAACTAGAATTACCCGTTCTAGAAATAACATTATAGAGGAAATGGGGAAAAACGACTGTCTATATGGATTGACGACGAAATTGAACGCAATATGCCATTAAGCCAATCTATCATAATGCCTTCTTGACAAAAAGGCAGAAAATTGGAAACTTAGAATAAACTGAATGATCTGACTGAGAATTTTATTTGTTTTTAAAAGTATATGCGTTTATATTGTTTTTATTTTTGTAAGAAATAAATGTTTGATTTTATTTTTATTAAAAAAAAAACATTATTAAATTTAATGCCTAACCATCTTTTATCCGTCTTCCCCTAACCCCATTATTTACATGTTAAGATAACCTCGCTTAGCGCTGTTTCGCATTACGCTCTACTTCGATGGAACGTATCCCCCGCGTTAAGCGGGGTCTTACTGTATTATAATTCATTGAAAAATAATCAACTATTTAAAAATTTTCAGTCTTGTAAAAACTTTAAACCCACAAAACTGGTAGAGTTAGTGATATTATTCTAATTTTAAATTTATCTATTGCAAGAAATGATTTTGCTTACAAGAAGTTCATTGCATTATTGTATTTTGAAATCAAATACAGTAAGTTAAAACTAATTTTAAATTAAACACGCCTGGAACCAAAGTTGAACGTTAAGTTTGCATCTGTTCTATTTTCTTGAGATTTCAAAGACTGTGAGGAGTCACATCTGTAATTATTCTGTAGTCTATCTGAAAGTGATAAGAAGCTTTTATTAAACAATAATTATTAAATCGTTCAAGATATCAAATACCGAAATAGTCGGAAATCCCCTCTCTTTTTTATTAGTATATCAAATTTTCTTAGCTAGTTTTATTTCAGAAATGTACTAGGAAACTATATATGAAACAATAAAAATTTAAATACAATTAACGATTTTTTTTAATCTGTAAGAATGCGTTTCTGCATTCGCTTTTTCTAATGCAATTTCTTAACGCTTGCATTTAACTTAAATACCATATATATTTGTTATATCCCGCTTAAAATCCTTAACTTCGAAAAGGCGTTATCATAGTTTAACACAGTGTCTAATCAGATATTCAGTATCACTTGCAGAGAATTTCGTTAAGTATTTTTCAACAAAAAAATAAATTATTATAACCACATTTCTCCAACGTTCCCTCTCTCAGAAGCATGAAGGTAGGAAGTAAGATGGAGTTGCCCTAAACAAGTTTCTCCCGTACCCTGCTCTGAAGCACCGGCGATCCCTACGTGGTGACCAAAACATTGGGTCATTTACCATTGAGTTCTATGGGATTTGACGCGTTCGGATGTAAATATTTTGTAATTACGTCGTAAATATACATATAAATGTATATATTTTCTTTTCCTACAACACTTCAGAGTCCTAATCCTAAGTGTGAAAACAACATATTTTAAACACATTTCATTCTGAACGGAATTAAATGCTATACTTTTCACAGGACAGTTTTCTCAGAATGGTTAATTTGAATGAAATATTTTCACAAGTTTTCGTTAATTTACATTAGAAAAAAATTTAAGGTAATTCGATTTTATTCGGTTAAGGTACAAAAAATTAAGATCAAAGTTTTATTGGTATTATTAATATTAAAATTATGCATTATTTCTTTTCTATTTATAGAGCTTCTTCCTAAAATACTTTTCTTAAATATGACATGATTTTTTGGCTTCTGAGGCATCTTTTAAATCGAAAAATGTAAGTCAATTTATAATTAATGCTCTATTCGGTTCATTTTAAATTAGATAATTATTAGGAATTAGCGAAAATACTTTAAATAGTTACTTGACTTTCTCTGACACTTATTTCTGAAAGGGAATAAAATAAAGTTTTTTTTTTTTAAGTATTATTTAAAACTTGTAACTGAATTATTATAAATGTAAGGGGAATAATTCTTTAATTATACTTAATTATCAGATTTTTTTTACCCTTCATTTCACAATACATATTCCAAAACTCTTTATTACTTTCTTAAGTGTGCATCTCATAGCATTTGCTTTACAATACCTTTTAACAGATTGCTTTCCAATACGAACAGTTCTTGCTTAAATAGTTTTATAACGTATTTGTCAACAGGATTTCAATATATGTTTACAATTCAATATTAAGGTTATTATATATTTAGATAACATTTATAATCATTATAAATTAGATACATTTAATAATTAGATTTCTTCACAGTACTTTCACAGTTGTTTATAAGTGAATAAATTCTTCATTTCAAATACATTTTATAATAATTTAATGAATATTTATGTATTTTGTCAAAGGCAGATACATGCTTTTTGCAATAATATGCAACAATAATATATGGATGTGAAAAAAAATTTGTTTTATTTAAAACAATTTGGCGTTTGGAAAATAAAATAAAAGTAGCGATTACTCTATCAAAGGTATCGAAAGACATATACAATTTTAAAGTACCGTAAGGTATTTTTCATTCTTTAAGCATAACATTTTTCTTAAAATCTATATTTTTGTAGTTCAACAGCTTAGAATTTTATAAAACAAATTCATAATCAAAATTGCTGTTGTTAGTTATCGAAAAATAACCAAGATGTGATTTTTGCGTAAATGTCACTAAACTATACAAATTGCTATTATCCATCACACTATGAATGTTTCTTTCATGCGAAAGTGTCCCTTTTTCGATTTGTATGGAACTGTCGTGTGTCGAAATACTATCAGAACCGTGTCAAGCGAGCTTCTGAATGTAAACAAAGAACACCCCTTCTGGTGATCCAAGCTTCAAAATAGTGCTTCACTTCTAGTGCCGACTGGCCCCTCCTTCCTTTCCTACCTCCATGCTCAGAAGACTTTAGACTGGCACTCCCAACAAGATACGCTCAGAGGGGACATTCAGAAAATTCCGTTAGAGAATAGCAACCTATTGTTATACTGTCACACTGAACAGATGCCCCCAAACAGGTTTTTGTCGGGACGGACAAGTTTCTAGTTGTTCGGTCGAAATAGCCGTGAGACAGGACCCTTTTCATAGCGCTGTGCAGCATTGAGTTTACTTCGGCTTTCACACATTTAATGCGTGGGCTGAAATTTTTAATGTTTTTAACAGATGACTGTTTAAGCTGAGATTAAGAATGTATGAAAAGTAAAAAGATGGATAACTTCATCTGCACAAAGTGAATGCGTGAGTAATAAAGAGTGACAGCTGCGAAAGGCGTCTTTATTACATCGCGAATTCATATTCTGATACGATGGCTTACAACTTTTTCATGCTCGTTCATTTTGTGTTTCACCCTTTTCCTTAGCTTTTGTGGCCCACCAGCGGCCGAGCGGTAAAGTCGCTGAACACTGGTAGTTCGGTCCGAGGTTCGAATCCCGCGAACGGGCTGGCTGCATGGGTGTTTTCGTGGTTTTCCCCATGTGTAACGTATATACGAGCCAGTTTCCCTTAGAAAGTCCTCCACGAAAGGCATCCCTCCCCTTAGGCAGATAGCCCTAGTGTGCTTTGCCATAATTAAATACACCAACACCTTAGCTTTTGTTATGCATTTGTTTCACAAAGATGCCCGACTGATTTTGCAGATTTGTGCGAATGTAGTTATGTTCCGTATGGACCAGAAAACCGCTTAACCTATGTTACCAACTGTACGAATGCCGGTTTCGACAATGCTCTGATGTTAAGAAAACTACCACCTGAAACAGAAGTGCTTGTGTTCGTAGGAAATGAAATTAAAGACCTTCGATTAAACATATTTGGACTGGAAAATGTTTACGAGAAACTGCATACGATTGATCTGTCCAACAACCATATTCAAACCATAAAAGGTAAGACGTTTCATAACGTAGCTAATGTAACAAAACTCATTCTTAACGATAATGATTTATACATTATTTCCAAAGATCATCATCCAAGGATGTTCAGCAATTTTGTTAACCTTAAAGAACTGCATCTCAGGAATGTTTTTACTGAAAAAATAAAAGCAGGAGACTATTTGTCAAATTTACTCCAGATTTTTGAAAATAGTTATTTGTTTAATCTTCGTGTTTTGAATATGGAAAACAACGAGATATCTCGGATTGACCAGGAAGAATTTTGTTCTTTAGCGGTTTTAGAAGAGTTATATTTAGCTCACAATCATCTGAATGACATTCCTCTAAATTTCTCGTGCCTAAAGTATCTGAAAAAACTTGACGTAAGAAATAACTTAATTCCTTATCTTTCCGATCAAACGCTTAAAAGTTTAGACACAAATAAGCAACTGGAAATTAATTTAACATCCAATCCATTTAAATGCGATTGCAGAATGATTAAAACTTTTGAATGGATGCTTACGACTTCAGTGACTCTATCAAACAAGGAACAATTATACTGCTTCGATGGCCATCCTCCTAATGTGGGAAAAAGAATATTTACACTACATTTGAGTAATTTGCAATGTACTGATACCGAGTGAAATCTACTATCATTCTTCAGCTGCATTTATTATTTCACTGCTAGCGTTATTTTGCCTAGCAATAATTATGGGCGTTATAATGTATAAGAATAGAGTTACAGTTAGTAGTTATCTTCGCAGGGCATTTTATCCCGGATGTGATAAATTCCATTATGTATCACTGGACAGAAGAAAAGGCACAATGAGTGTTTAATTTTTGGTAGACTAACTATTAATTTGCAGCCTGACATGATATTAGAAAATATTTATTGTTTGGTTTGCATTAAAAATAACCTGTTTCCATATTAAGTGATTTTGCTTTGTTCGTTTATTAATGTAATGGTAAGTGAAGCTATCTTGCAAAAAAATTGTTAGTTTGTGGTTGCCATATCGTGAAATTTTGTCTTATCTGTGCAGAATTTTTTATGCTTGTCTCAAATTCTTTAAGTATATGGAAAATGTTTTTTTGTTGTTTTAAGTTATTGAAATAATATATTATAATTAAAGTCATAAAACTATGTATTTTTGAAGTGTAATAATTCATCTCTTAAGAAAAGATTAAAAATAATATTGCTATAATTTATATTCTTGTTGATCAAAAACTAAACTGAAACAAAGACTGTTTATTAAAATAAAATATATTTGGAATTCATTATATATTATTTAACAGTATGCGTGTTTGAAACAGTTATTCTGATATTCAGAAAGAGCATTTGCAAAATTATTATTGTTGTCAAGTGATAAACGTTATTTGAAGTAACATAATTAATTAGTTTCTTTTTTTAATACTTGTTTGAATTTTGTGAAATTTGTAAAAAAATATTTAATATTGACACTTTTTTGTAAGTTGGTGGTCTGAGCTTGAAGTTAATGCTTGATTCCTACCATGTTTTCTTAATTCATAAGTATTCATTAAAGGGTAAAAATAGATTTCAGAGTTAAACTGAGTTTTGTAATATTTTTTAGAAGAATTTATTTTAATATTCTACTCATTTTTTGCTTAAATGATCACAGTGATATGTGAATAAATTTAGCGATGATAAAATAGATATTTAGGTGTTATTTTAAGTAGTAAATATAGTCAATTATTGTTCTTCAGTTTAATTGAATTCACATTTGTCTTGCAATGAATTTGAGAGATAAAGTAGTATATTGAACAATTCATGGGAAAAATTCTCCATTATTCATTATTATTAAAAAATATTCATGAGAAGCACAAAGAAATAAGTAATTTTAATGAATTTATTACAACAGGTAAATTCATATAATGAGAAGAAAAGCATATATGTGTATATTATATAATTAGTTATACATATATAATTATATATGTTATATATCTAAAATATATAAAATTATAAATCTTTAAGCTTGCAGGCCTAGCCCGTAAGTTTTTGTATATTTAGGACTAATAGCAGACCGCTATTTATTTTTATTTTTATTTTTATTTTAGTCTAGATTTTAGATATAATCGGAATAGTTTTTACATATTTTAACACCTTAATGTGTCATTTTGTGCGGACGCGTCGGGAAATTGGAACAGAGAATTGAGACTAACAAATTTTCCAAGACACTTTGTCTAAATTAAAAAATTTTGTAGCGAAAAAGTTTCAATTGTCTGTTTCGGCGAAACGCGTAATGGGGTTAGCTTGATTCGACGTTCAAACCAGAAATTTCCCTTGAAGAGCCAGTTTGAAAGTCGAATTCGGCTAATTTACCATTTTCCGCTTACTTTTTTATCTGATTTTGTTTTTTTAATGTTTTACTTGTTACATGGTTTGATTTTCATATGTATTAATTTTTTAAAACGTGTTGAACTTTTTGGAGCAACAGCTCCTGGTAACTTTTAGGCGAGCTTACTACAATTTCTAATTTACTTATTTTGCAGCATATTGCGCAAAATGTTACCTAGACCAAATTGGTCATTCAGTATTGTAATAACTACCTTGCTTGTTATGTTACATAATAAATATGTAATATATATAAATATGTGTGTGTGTTAGTGAAAACAGTTAGGATTTTTTAATTACCTTTATATTTAATAATCAGTTTTGTAAAGTGCATTGCATATCGCTTATATTTATTATAATAGTTTTTATTAAAACGTTTGGTAATCAAATATGAGTTAATTCAATCCCATAGTAAAATGCTATGTAAAATGATTCTGTGATGTGTAAATCCTCTCGACTTTTTAGCAAGCTTTTTACGAGTTAAACTGAAACTAAATTTTGCAGTGATGCGCCAAGAAACTTTGAAAAATATGCATATATAAAGTAACACCTAATACTCAAAAAATGTTTCCAAAGTGAGTATTGTATATAAAGTTGTAAAAGTGTGCCATTCTATTTCGTTCCTTGTTATGAAAATTTTGCTACATTCGAAATGAGCTGATGATTAAGCTAAGATTGAAGCTGATGATTAAGCTAAGATTCTCGGTGAAAATATCAAGTTGATTCAGACCTGTAACAGAAAAGATACGATATGTTTCAATTGTAACGCAATCAATTAAAAATGCTCAGTACATAGGTTTGTGATTTGAAATCAGAGGAAAATGGTTATACTGTAAGCATAACGTGCTATTTCTTTAAAAAATTTATTAAATCTTTACCTACTTTCTACTTTTTTCAAATTAAAATTCAAACTAGAAAAGCATTTTAAGGAAGTTTAGTTTCAGGTTATAGTAAAAAATGCTTGACATGGTGGTAAAAAAAAAAAATAAAGCAAAGATTTTGTTTGAATGCTATGGGTACAAATTACTGGAGGCCAATCCCCGGCCAGATGAGTAACTTTGCGGAGTTAAGACAACTGAAAATTCCGAAGACAGACAAAGTACACAGATGTATACACTTGTTTTGCATCCGCTAAGTGTTTCTGCCCGAAGAGAGAAAAATCGAGCTTAGATGCGAAGAAAGGGTTCTTAAGTAAGATTCCCTGTGAAACGAGTCGGTTGCGTTAAATATTTTCGAGATTTTTTTTTTTTTTTTTTTTTTTTTTTCTGACGCATAACGTAAAAAATCATCTATTTCAAGTCGGGAAATTTGAATTCTGGGTAGGTAATTTATCTATTTTCGTTACATAGCAAAACCCAGAAGTAATGCAACAGGTGAAACCGAAAAAGGGCGTGTAAGTCGAATATATTAGTTTTATTTGAATAAAAACATAAACTTAAAAAAAAAAAAAAAAAAAAAAAAAAAAAAAAAAAAAAAAAAAAACACTTGTTTAGAAGAAATGCATGTAGAAAAGAATGTAATTTCAAAATATTACAAAATACATTTCAGTATCACTTGCAAACAAATTATATACGAAACTAAAATTCTCACTGTCCAGTCTTAGTTCTGAACATTCAATTAACGACGATATATCAATATCTAAAATCTTAAAAACTGTATGATACCTATGCTTATCTTTTGCATTATATATTTACTATAAAACTGACGTATCTGTTTTCCTTCGGTGAATTTTTTGTGAAAATTTAAATTTTGATTTTTCATCTATACATTCACTAATTTTCTCTTCTTAGTTTCAGGCACATTCCAGTAGTCTGAAAGAGTTCTGTGTTCTAATATATTGTTGCGTGCGTAGGGTTCGTTACGAAATGAATGCACAAGTCCGATGAAAAATGAACAAAAATTTATTATTATCACAAGAATAAATACAAAATGCTTACATTTTCTCAAATTATCATTCGTACAGTATGACAGTATCTCACAGTAGTTATCTTATAAACTACTCAAAACCTGTCAATAGAACGTCAATTCAAAACAGCTAAAGAAAGCTAATCCGATTTCGCCGCGAATTCGCTACAATCAACAAGAGCAGTTTTCTAAACAACAATAAACTAAGCAACTACAACAAACTGAGATGTTTCCTCCTTTTATAAGATTTTAAAATCACGCGCTAGAATTTTCTAGTACTTTCTCGAAATCAAAAAGAGATATTTATTTATTTAATGCACGCGCTCTTGTATTTTCAATTTTCCGGCTTAGCTTTCTTTTAATATTCGTCACGCGCTGCACTGCGCGAGAAATAAAACCATTTAATTTATAATTGAACTAACATTAGCTTTTTAAATACCAAATTCGTAACAATATTTTAACGGATTGTAAAGTTATAAAATATTCATACTTCACCTTGTTGACAAAATTTATTCCGAGAATTCTTACGCAAATTATCAAAGAACGCATACATCTTAAGAACATCTTTTATTTTAACGCAAAAATTCTGCTTTTCACATTTCGCTATAAAATTGTCATTATTCGGAAAGTTACTGTTAAATGCATTTCCTGCATTATGAAATTTTCATCGTTACTTATATTTAATTTAGCTGTTTTTGCTCATACGGCTCTTTTCACACGAATTTCAATAACGCTTTTTTTTTTTTTTAAGAAACTTTTAAATATAGAACATAAATCAACGATTGTAACTACGTCCCATCACTCGTCTGCTGCAATATACTTGATGATATCCTAAGAACTACAGTTTGACACCAACGGTATTTATCATTTTAATTTCCTACAATGAGCTGTTTAAAAACCAACAATAGGTTCACTTTCTCGATAAGCTCATTTCTTTTCAAGAACTCTTGCATGCATATTAAACTGGCACTGTGTCTGTGTGAAGTCTGACGAATAAAGCGGGCCCAGCCCGCACAAAATCGCTGAACACTTGTAGTTCGGTCTAAGTTTCGAGTAAAGGCGAGTGGGCTGGCAGCATGGTATCTTCTAAATGCATACGTGAATAATAAACCACTGAACACTGGTAGTTCGGTCCAACTTTCGCATAATGGCGAACGAGTTGGCTCCATGTGTACTTTCGTGATTTTACGCATGTGTATCGTGTATTCAGTATCTTCTGGATGAGTATGTGAATATAGGGAGCGCAGTACGCTCAAAACCGCTGAATACTGGTAGTTCGGTCCAACTTTCGAATCCCAGCGGACAAGCTGGTTCCATGGGTGTTTTCGTGATTTTACGCATGTGTATCGTGTATGCAGTATCTTCTGGATGCATACGTGAATAAAGTGG